GGGGGAAGTGTTGTAACCGTGGGCCATGTTGTTGTTGAGATCGTTGCTTTTTTTCCCTTGTGGTTTATGACTTTGTGTGCGGTTGTTTTTGTGTGTGTGGTTTTTTTTCCCTTCCTTTTTTTCTTTTTGTGCTGTTGTTGTTTTCTGTTCTTTTGTTTTGTGTTTTCTTTTATATTTTCGTTTTTTTATGGAAAAAGGGGGGGGGGATATCTGTCCTGTTGTCTTGTTGTCCTGTCCTTTTTCTGAGCAGGGAAATGGACCCCAAAGTTGGGTCAGTTGTGGTGGAATAAAAGTATTACTTAGACTGGATTGTTCACTTCTGTTTTTATCTTTAACTTTGAGCACTGTCCTGCAACTTTTGTGAAAACGAAGTCGTAACCGGTGCATTATCTCGTCAGACTCTATATTGGTCTGTATGGTCATATTTATCACTTTGTTGGTGGTTCGCGGGTGCTCTGGTGTGGTTTGCTCCTTCTTTCCTATCTATTGCCTTCATCTCTCTTCCTTCTTTTTTGTAGTTGTTACTCTCCTCTAACACCTTTTATCTTCGGAATGTATATGACCATATTTTGTTGAGGTGCAGTTAAACTTACTAATGCCTTATGCAGTTGCGAGCACTGTAAAATTCTTATTAAAACTACAACAAAACTTACTAAAACATATTTTCCACTTTTCCCTCCACAGAATCCAAGAGCTTGCAGGCTACAATGGCGAGGAAATGATCAATCAGTCACTCTACGACTTCCATCATGCCTTAGACTCTGACGTGGTGGACAAGGCGTTTAAAGACTGTAAGCTAATAGTAATGGTTGTAGTAGTTGTAATGGTATAAAAAGTTGTAATAATTGCGGAAGTAGAAGTAGAAATAGTGGTGGTAGTGGTAGTAGTAGTAGTAGAAGTAGTAGTAGTAGTAGTTGTAATAGCAGTAGTACTCTACTTGGTTTTCTTGGTTGGAGAATAGACGTCATCGCAGGCAGCACAATGCCATAGCTGCTCCTCCCTCCTCTCCAGGATCCTTGAAAGGTTCTGCCTGCTGATTGTGCCAGTTAACAGCTGGTTGGATATTCTTCTTGTTTTTCTACGCAGGTTACTGTCTCTCCCCGACCCTCTAGAGACACCAGCAATAGTAGTAGTAAAATTGCAGTAGTAATAGCTGTAGGGATGGGGATGGTAGTAGTTGTAGTACTAGTTGTAATGGTTGTGACAGTGGTAGTTGTAACAATTTTAATGGTAGTGGTGATTGTGGTAGAAATGACACGATCGTTTTCAGCCCCTTAGGGTTTCTCACCCAGAAGAAAGCGTCCAATAATTTGTTTTCTTTTACCTTTGTGGCCAGTGAATGTCCTTGAAGGGTTCTGTTTTCCTCTATTTCAAGTGCCCAAAACTTAAAAATCTTATCGTCGCAATGTCAGCGTGCTTTTACTTGTCTAAAGGGTCACTGAAGTCGGAACAACATAATTGAAACCCTGGGTTTACAAGTTAGGAAGAAAAAAATGGAGAGGTTGTGTATGCTTCATATTAACTTTTTATCAGCGAAGGAGGTTTTGTATGAAGGTCGTCATGAACCCATACAAGTTCTGGAAATTGTTTATGCTGGAACAACACTGGATGTGTCCTGTTTAGCTGGGTGCGGTTTCTTCCAGCTGTTGACTCCTCCCTCCCGCTCCACCCCTCTCCTTTTTTAAAACTATGTGTTTTTGTTGCGAAAAAATTGACAGCCTGTCAAGAGGGCACCTGTGTCTTCTGTACTTCTTTTATATTGTGTTCTTTAATATGGTAGTGGACCTTGTGATATGTTCTTTTTAAATTGCAACTTGCTCTGAACTGGGTGCAAGAAAAATTGGAGACCTCCAGTACTTAAATGACCTATTTGTGTAGCGAGTGCCACAAAATTCTTACTAAAGCTAAAAATAAAAGAACCCAGACGGTGGTACTTCTAAGGTGACTGTACTAGTGACAATGAAATTACAATAACTTTGTTCCTTTATGTGTGTTAGTTCTAGACGATACTTTTGACAATTAAAAAAACTGCAATAGTTATTCTGTTTCTATTTGTGTATCTAAGGGCCATACTATACTACTGACAAGGAAAAAAATGACCTACAACAGTAATTGTTTCTATTTGCTTTTCAGTGTTCTCCAAGGGCCAGACAGTGACCGGAGCCTACCGCTTCCTGGCTCGCCATGGGGGCTACATGTGGGTGGTCACACAGGCCACAGTCATCAACAACAGCCGCACGCAGAAACCACAGTGGGTGGTCTGTGTCCACTATGTTCTCAGGTGAGGGAGATCAGTTCAATTACAATTTTAATTTTATGTTCTAGAGCTGGCTCCCTTTGTTCATGTACAGTGCAGGTGGTTTGGGGG